GTCCAAACCAATCAACCACTTCTGAGTGGGGCAATCCATCCTGCTCAGAAAATCCACCCTGACATTGTCTGACCCTGCTTTGTGAATAGCGTGCAAAGACACTTGGTGTTGAACAGCCCATTCCCAGATGGTGGATGCCTCTGCACAAAAGGGAAGGGACATGGTACCACCTGCTTGTTTAAATAAAACATTGCAGTTGTATTGTCGGTTTGTATCTGGACCACCTTTCCTTGGACAATAGCTGCAAAGGAGTTGAGGGCAAAAAGGACTGCTGTCAGTTCAAAGAGAATGATATGCAAATCCCTTTCCTTATAGAGCCAGGTGTCATGCACAGAAATGTCACCACAGTGTGCACCCCAACCCTCTAGGGAAGTATCTGTGGTGATCGTAACCTGAGGGGGAGGGGAACTGAAGGGAACCCCCGTGACCAAGCTTTCTTCACAGGCCCACTAGGACAAAAGCTTGACCCCTTGCCCGGAGTTAGAAAACCTATAGTTCTGAGAATGATGTAGAGGGCTGAAGTCCTGGATAAACCAGTTCTGCAAGGGTCTCATCTTGAGCCGTGCAAAAGGGGCCACAGAGGTGGTTGAAGCAATAAGGCCCAACAACCTCTGCAAAGACAGAGAGCTTTGAAAGTGGTTCTTGGTAAACTGTTACACTAAGCGTTTAATGTGGGGGGCCCTGTCCCTTGGTAGGAAGACCTGGGCCTCCAAAGAATACAGGATGACCCCAATGAAGGAAATCTGTTCGGTTGGGTACAGCCTGGATTTCTTCCAGTTGATCATAAGACCTAAATCCTGGCAGGTAGTGATTGCCAACATGAGATTCTCCTTTACAGTGTCTTCTGAAGGAGCAGTAAACAGCCAGTCATTCAGGTAAGGACAGACTGAGCCTCCCTGAGATCTTCTGTGGGCTACGACCACAGCCACGCATTTGGTAAAAACATGTGGTGCGGTGGCCAGACCAAAAGGGAGGACCATGTATTGATAAGGCAGCCCCTGATGTTTGAAAGTTTGGTTAGCATTGATAGAAAAATGGAAGTATGCATCCTACAGATCTGTAACAGCAAGCTAATCATTTAATTCGAGAAACTGTATAACGAAAAACAAGAAAACCATATGAAATGTCTTAATGTTGAGAAAACTATTCAGACGTCTGAAGTCTAAAACAGGCTTAGATCTTGTCAACCAGAAAGAACTTTGAGTAAAACCCAAGAGTATTAACAGGAGACAAAACTCTTTCAACAGTGCCCTTGTCCAACGGGGACTAAACTTCAGGGTCCAACTCTGGAAAAAGGTCATCTAAGGAAGGGGAGGCTGTCTGCAGTGGGGGCAAGTCAGTAAACTCCAGTCAGTAGTCACACTCCACAAATGTCATTTCAGCAGAAAATTAGCTAACCTATCTAGAAAATTAGGAGGGGAGGACAGGACTGGCAGCTGTGATAGTCAGAAGGGCTTCTGGCCCTGTGAGACCTCCTTGGCAGGGCCTGATATTGTGACCTGGACTTAGAGTGGGATGACAATTTTTGCCTTGGTTGATGTGGTGAATGGGAAAAAGACCTCTGCAGAGGATACTGTTGAGGCTGCAGACAAAAAGGGTGTTGGTAGCCCTGATAAGGCTGATATCTATGGTAGCATAGCTTGAAAGAGGGAGCAGTGTCCTGGGTAATGCCAAAGGACCTGGTAGTTTGTACATTTTTCTTAATCTGGGACAGAAAGTCATCAGTTTTAATTTAGAATAGTGATGTACCCTCAAAGGGTAGGTCCTCCATCCTGGACCTGGTCTCAGGCAGGAGGGCGGTGGAGTGAAGCCAGGCATGTCTTCTCAAAACCACCGCAAATGCCAGAGCCTGAGCAGATGCATCAGCCAAGTGGCTTCCGGCATTAGTCTGCTGCTTGGACGATATCAGAGGAGTCATGAGCCATGCCTGTGTTCACCCTGCATCTCCTTGGCTACAAGTGAAGATGGGAGCAAGGTGAGTGAACAGGAAAGGGCAGCCTTCCTGCTGGACTTAATACATGTTCTCCACCTTGCCAGAGGTTGCAGGGATGGAGCACAGTTTGTCCCAAATAGATCTTTCTATGTCTGGGACACCCTCTAAGAGGGAAAGGTGATCATCCATGGGAACTGGAGGGCGCCCATGCACTCTAGGCAGCAGCAGCTTTGGTCCTGACTGTGGAACAGACCTGGATGGCTCCCCCACTCCTGTGGGTAAGACAATGGCTAAAAGAACAGATATTGCCATGGATCTGATGGAAGGGCAAGCAGCCAGGCAGGTGGTTTTGCCGAAACCGTCGGAGGTGGGTTATCTGAATGGTCCAGTTGCACAGCAGAGTTTGCCCTCAAAAAGAGAAGAGCCAGGCAACCAGGACCGAAGTGACAGTGTACATGGGGGGTAGGGGGTGGGAATGCCTCAGCTTATAACTGGAGAGGTGGTTCTGAGTGTCCCAATGCTTCTGAAGGATAGCCTGGTGCCAATCTTCATGCTTAGACTTGGTGTTCTGCTTCTTTGGTGGGTGCTCAGATGACTACCTAGCAGACACTGGTTCTGGTGATCTCTACCTCCTTTGGACTGGGTCCAACCCCAGAACTAATGGAACCGAGACAAAGGAGAGTGGACAGGATAGACGGTCTGAGTGTGGAAATGACCTTGAACCCGAAGGGGTACACGTTCTGCCCGGGCAGATGACTTGGCTGCCGGGACATCGGAACTTGTAAGTGCCTTCTCCCACAGAGCTGTCAGGAGGCCTGGTCATTACAGCATTTAGGGGTGAATTGTTGGTAGATCTTGGAGGCTGCCATATTATGCTCCTCATCCAAACAAATTAAGCATAAGGCAGGCTTGTCAGTGTGAGTCATTTTCGTCCTGCACAACAAAGAGTTCTTAAATAAGGCCCTTTATGTAAACGATTTTAATGCCTTACCTGATAAATATCTTGATTTTGTATTGTATTAACGATTCAGTGAAATACCTACAAGGTGTGGCAACTATGGTTAAAGTATTAAGGTTTGTTATAAGCAAGTTGTTAGTGAATGATTTTGTTTTTTAATGTTTGAAGTTTAGTTAATTGATTTTGTTATTGTAATTCTTGTTATTATTATGAAAATTTATAAAAATTTGACAAAGAGTTATAAAAAATAAAATAAGGCCCTTTGAGACATACTGGAGGTCTTGAAGAGAAAAAAGGCTGAGAAGTCACAGAGAAAACCCACATCAGTAGAAAGATCGATCTTCACTGAGCAGCGGTGACGTTAGAACTGAGGGGAAAGAAGCACTTCCTCCAGAGCATGTGACCGTTTGAGCAGGAAAATGGCCGCCAGAATGCTCTGGACAGGAGGGGCTCCCCTGCTCTGTTGTTAGGCTGAAAGAATAAACTTTAAAAATCTTCTAAGCATCAGGCTTGCACATGCACAGTCCCAATGTTGGACTGCATAGAAGAATGACGAGGAACCTTAATAAACTATTGCCAGATCCGTATCATCAATATATATCTCTGGCCCAGTTCATATCTTATTGAGGGAGTGAGAGATGCTTCCCTTTGGTCTGTGGCTGTGCAACTCCCGTAACAACCGTACTAAGCAAATGGCATGGGCCCTTCCCATGTAAATGACACTTGAAATAGTGCAGGAGTGGAAGGAATTTCCAGCATTTGTGCAGTAATGTATGAACTGGGCATTTCATATTAAACCACCATGACTTCCTGCAGGGTGGATAGGCTAACACTGGTCCTGTTTTGCAGACAGCCCCAAAAAGACACTGAGTTGCTGAAGGCCCCCAGAGCTCCCTGGCCTGCTCCAACCTTAACCAGCATCCTCCTGATCTAAGCCTCTTGCTCTGCTCAGAAGAGCAGACCAACCAGTTTGTGCCAGCACTAAAACCATCACTGTTCCAGATTAGAGGATTCTTAGCCATTTGCTAGTGAGTCCGGATCCCTTCCTGATTCCAACCATGTTAGAGAAGCCATAAAACAACAGCAGTAAACATTTTTAGAACACTGATTAGGATGGTGATATCTAGGGTTTAAATTTGTTTGAATTTTATTAACTCTTTCTTTTAATCAGTTATAGTGAAAAATACTAAGAAATAAATGAATAAAAAAATTAAACACATGACCGGGAATGCCACCTCATTTTGGAGGCACAGAAGAGTTGTAAGAAAAACCCCCCCATCCCTTTTGATTTGATCGCCTGCTGCCAGGGTAAATGAATAAAAAAATTAAACACACAGCCGGGAATGCCACCCCATTTTGGAGGCACAGAAGAGTTGTAAGAGAGAACCCCCTCCCTCCCTTTTGATTTGATCGCCTGCTGCCAGGAAACACATGGAAGATTTCAGTGGGATTAGAACTGCAAGAGCGTATGACATCTCCAGCTAGATCACTGGAAGTTAAGAGTTGGGTAAAGATTCTTGGCATACTCCAGTGGAGGCCTTCCATGGCCTTCCTCAGATTGTTCTCATCATGGCAAGCAATTTGGAAAGGAGTCATGGTAAGTTTTATGATGCAGAGGAGGGAATCTCTGGTGGCTGTCACCAACGTGTCTCTATTGATTTTCACACCATTTAAAAGATCTCAAAAGGACATTACGTGCAACTCCTTGTTCTATATTCCAAAAGCATTCCCAGTGAAGCCAGTCCAGCCTCTAGGAAGTCTTTAGCAAAGTACATCCCACAGCCTCTGGAAACAGTTTGCTCTACTGGATTTTCCCTGATACTTATTCCAGCGGTTCGGTTTTAAATCCTATATGACACTACCCTAGAC